AATCGGGCCTTGCATAGTAGGACAAAAAGTGCGTTCTGGCTATTAGGTACGACATATATATATATATATATATATATATATATATATATATATATATATATATATATATATATATATCGTACCTAGTAGCCCGAACGCACTTCTCAGCCTACTATGCAAGGCCCGATTTGCCTACTAAGCCAAGTTTTCATGAATTAATATATTTTCTCTATTTTTTTTCTTATGAAATGATAAAGCTACCCTTTTCGTTATGTATGAGGTCAATTTATTTTTATTGGAGCTAAAATTAACGTAGATATATGACCGAACCTAACCAACCCTACCTAACCTAACCTAACCTATCTTAATAGGTTAGGTTAGGTTAGGTGGCAGAAAAAGTTAGGTTAGGTTAGGTTAGGTAGGTTAGGTAGTCGAAAAACAATTAATTCATGAAAACTTGGCTTATTAGGCAAATCGGGCCTTGCATATTAGGCTGAGAAGTGCGTTCTGGCTACTAGGTACGACATATATATATATATATATATATATATATATATATATATATATATATATATATATATATGTCGTACCTAGTAGCCAGAACTCACTTCTCAGCCTACTATTCAAGGCCCGATTTGCCTAATAAGCCAAGTTTTCCTGAAATAATATATTTACTATAATTTTTTTCTTATGAAATGATAAAGCAACCCTTTTCTCTATGTATGAGGTCATTTTTTTTTTATTGGAGTTAAAATTAACGTAGATATATGACCGAACCTAACCAACCCTACCTAACCTAACCTAACCTATATTTATAGGTAAGGTTAGGTTAGGTAGCCAAAAAAAGCTAGGTTAGGTTAGGTTAGGTAGGTTAGGTAGACGAAAAAACATTAATTCATGAAAACTTGGCTTATTAGGCAAATCGGGCCTTGAATAGTAGGCTGAGAAGTGCGTTCTGGCTATTAGGTACGACATATATATATATATGTCGTACCTAGTAGCCAGAACGCACTTCTCTGCCTACTATTCAAGGCCCGATTTGCCTAATAAGCCAAGTTTTCATGAATTAATTGTTTTTCGACTACCTAACCTACCTAACCTAACCTAACCTAACTTTTTCGGCCACCTAACCTAACCTAACCTATTAAGATAGGTTAGGTTAGGTTAGGTAGGGTTGGTTAGGTTCCGTCATATATCTACGTTAATTTTAACTCCAATAAAAAAAAATTGACTTCATACACAATGAAATGGGTAGCTTTATCATTTCATAAGAAAAAAAATAGAGAAAATATATTAATTCATGAAAACTTGGCTTATTAGGCAAATCGGGCCTTGCATAGTAGGCTGAGAAGTGAGTTCTGGCTACTAGGTACGATATATATATATATATATATATATATATATATATATATATATATATATATATATATATATATATATATATATATATATATATATATATATATATATAAGGCCCGATTTGCCTAATAAGCCAAGTTTTCTTGAATTAATATATTTTCTCTATTTTTTTCCCATGAAATGATAAAGCTACCCATTTCATTATGTATGTGGTCAATTTTTTTTTATTGGAGTTAAAATTAACGTAGATATATGACCGAACCTAATCAACCCTACCTAACCTAACCTAACCTATCTTTATAGGTTCGGTTCGGTTAGGTAGCAGAAAAAGTTAGGTTAGGTTAGGTTAGGTAGGTTAGGTAGTCGAAAAAACATTAATTCATGAAAACTTGGCTTATTAGGCAAATCGGGCCTTGCATAGTAGGCTGAGAAGAGCGTTCTGGCTACTAGGTACGACATATATATATATATATATATATATATATATATATATATATATATATATATATATATATATATATATATATATATATATATATATATATATATATATATATATATATATATATATATATATATATATATATATATATATATATATATATATACTTCTCGTTCTAGCTACTACGTACCTAGTAGCTAGAACGCAATTTTCAGCCTACTATGCAAGGCCCGATTTGCCTAATAAGCCAAGTTTTCCTGAATTAATATATTTTCTCTAATTTTTTTCATATGAAATGATAAAACTACCCATTTCATTATGTACGAGGTAAATTTCTTTTATTGGAGTTAAAATAACATAGATATATGACCAAACCTAACCTATCTTTATAGGTTAGGTTAGGTTAGGTAGCTTTAAAAGTTAGGTTAGGTTAGGTTAGGTAGGTTAGGTAGTCGAAAAACAATTAATTCATGAAAACCTGGCTTATTAGGCAAATCGGGCCTTGCATAGTAGGCTGAGAAGTGCGTTCTGGCTACTAAGTACGACATATATATATATATTTATATATATATATATATATATATATATATATATATATATATATATATATATATATATATATATATATATATATATATATATATATTTATATATATATATTTATATATATGTATATATATATATATATATATATATATATATATATATATATATATATATATATATATATATATATATATGTCGTACCTAGTAGCCAGAACGCACTTCTCAGCCTACTATGCAAGGCCCGATTTGCCTAATAAGCCAAGTTTTCATGAATTAATTGTTTTTCGACTACCTAACCTACCTAACCTAACCTAACCTAACTTTTTCGGCTACCTAACCTAACCTAACCTATAAAGATAGGTTAGGTTAGGTTAGGTAGGGTTGGTTAGGTTCAGTCATATATCTACGTTAATTTTAACTCCAATAAAAAATAATTGACCTCATACATAATGAAATGGGTTGATTTATCATTTCATAAGAAAAAAATTAGAGAAAATATATTAATTCATGAAAACTTGGCTTATTAGGCAAATCGGGCCTTGAATAGTAGGCCAAAAAGTGAGTTCTGGCTACTACGTACGACATATATATATATGTCGTACATTCATATGTACAGCAGTCATTCCTGTAGACATATATTATTAAATATGACCGAAAAAGTAAGATTAATAATTCTAACACGAATTTTCTCTATCTTTCTTACGTTCTTTTCACTGTTGATGGTAATTCAAAGATCAATTCTCCAAAATTCATTTTTTATTTCTAGACTGACGCGACACTTGAGCGCGTTTCGTAAAACTTATTACATTTCAAAGACTTTAGTTTACAAACACACAACTGAAACTGAATAGAGCTTACACATCTTTCGAATTTATATCTACATTTGGGTGAGGTGGATGAGGTGAAAACGAACTTTCAAGATTGGGTATTGAATGGGTATTAAATTCCAACACAAGACAGAACACGAAACAATAGGTATTGAATGGGTATTAAATTCAAACACAAGACAGAACACGAAACAATGGGTATTGAATGGAAGTAATTGTAGAAAGTCTATTGGTCCATATTTCTTGATGCTTCTATATTGGAGCGGAGTCTTCAAGTGGGTAGAATATAGTTGTGCATTAATTGGCTGTTGACTGCTGGTATTGACTTCTTGATGTGTAGTGCCTCGCAGACGTCAAGCCGCCTGCTATCGCTGTATCTATTGATGATTTCTGTGTTGTTTGCTAAGATTTCTCTGGTGATGCTTTGTTTGTGGGAAGAGATTATATGTTCCTTAATGGAGCCCTGTTGCTTATGCATCGTTAAACGCCTGGAAAGAGATGTTGTTGTCTTGCCTATACTGGTTTTTTTGAGGCTTACTGTCCTCAAGAGGGCATTAGAAGGCATAGACGACGTTGGTCTCTTTTAAAGCGTTCTGCTTTGTGTCTGGAGAGTTTCTTATGAGTAGGCTGGCCGTTTTTCTGGTTTTATAGTAAAACGTCAGTTGTATCTTCTGATTTTTGTCTGTAGGGATAACGTTTCTACTGACAATATCTTTCAGGACCCTTCCCTCCGTTTTATGGGCTGTGGAAAAGAAGTTCCTGTAAAATAGTGTGGTATTAATAGGGTATTAAAATGTGGTATTAATAGGGTATTAATTTCATCAACATGTTTCATGTTGATGAAATTAATACCCTATTAATACCACATTTTGTTCTGTCTTGTGTTAATGCCACATCACCCCTTCCACCTCACTCAAATGTAGATATAAAATCGGAGATACGTAAGTTCTATTCAGTTGTGTATTTGTGAACTAAAGTCTTTGAAAATGTAATAAGTTTTACGAAACGCGCCCGTGTCGCGTCAGACTAGAAATAAAAATGAATTTTGGAGAATTGATTTTTGATTTACCTCCAACAGTGAAGCGTAATGTACGAAAGATTGAGAAAATTCGTGTTAGAATTATTAATCTTACTTTTTCGGTCATATTTAATAATATATGTCTACAGGAAAGACTGCTACCAAAATATACTAATATATATATATATATATATATATATATATATATATATATATATATATATATATATATACCCACACATACAAAAAGAATAGGGGTGGTAGGAGAATTCAGTGAGGATCCACGAGGCCTTCGCTGAGTACTCTTTATTTTCTTCTCCGAGGCTATGGGTCCCTGCAATATGACCAGAGGTGATACCCCCTTTTAGGTTATAAATACATATGTATACATGTGTACATGATATATGTCAGTGGGTCGGGAGGTTATTGCATAACATTAAACTGGGTTACGAACGAAAAAGAACGAAGCGCCGTCTAGAAGGACTGAGGTTAGTCCCGCGAGACTCGTTATTGGTTTCACTACATTGTGGACTCATTTATGTTTAATTTGCTTCTATATAAGAGCTTAATCATTGTAAAAAAAGTAAAACTTTGTAATTAGTGAAGTTATTAACAAACTATTTAGCACGACATAATTAAGAAACAAAGAACTTTTACAATAATTCAAGAAAATTAGTGATATACTGTTAATGGGAAGGGAATGAAATAGTACCACTTTCTCCTGTAGTTGGCGCACTCGTCAATAGATGGCGTTGCTAGGCAGGGCGAGCGTCGGGTTGGGTGATACAAGATCTATATATTTTATAGAGAGCTTTCCTATCCTTCTTCTATAGTCTCTTGTTAGTGCGAGTGTTTATAGTGTGTGGGGAAGGCAACGAGTCGGGCCACCTTCCTGCATTTGACATTCAATCCCTAACTTCCTGTGGTGATAACACTCTCTTTGTCCTTCAAGGTTTGTGTGTAAATAGATTAGTTTATTGTTATTTCTTTACGTTTAATAATGTTATGAAAGTGGCGTTGGATAACGTTTCTTGGTATTTACCTTTTTTTTTTTTTTTAACACTGAAGCTGTTATATGGGTGTTAATGTTCTATCCTGCTAATTTGCCAGACTTCCCGTCGTCAGTACTCTAGTTATTTACGAAGATGATAAACTTCTGCTTTTGACTAATGCCTGTGAAAAAAACTAGTAAAATTATCTTGCTACATTCATTTTCGGTAAACATCCACCCTCCAGCACTTTGTGCAACTTGTTAAGGTTTCTTATATACCAATGTCAACCTAGAACGGTTTTGCCGCATTGGGGACGTAGTTATTGATTTACCATAAACTACATTATTTTTCAGATGACCAACAGTTCCTGGCTAATATTGTGGACAACCCTGGTAGTCTCCCAGGTGCTTGTCGTTGCCCAACTTGTTAACGTAAGTAAACGTATTTTTTTTCCCTAAATATTTTGGTAAAATATTTTGTTTCCTATAAATGTGTAATTATTGTTAAACACTAGTTGTACCCGGCCATGTGTTGCCGAGCCACAGCCTCGTTTTCCCCACCATTCTACTCTCGTCCCCCCCAAACTTCCCCCCCCCCCCCTTTCCCTTCCCATTCCCGTTCTTCCAACCATTTCCCTCGTCCGATGCGTTCCCAAATAATTTGTTCCCATCAGGAAAATTGGAACGGTAAAGAAAAGGTGAAAGAAATGGTTAATACGGAAGAGATAAAGTACTCGCCAAATGTGGCGTGTTAAACATGACAGCCCGCTTCAAAATGCCATGTCAGACAATAATTAAGTCTTGCTTCCATGAAAATTAATTTCATCGATGCAGTCCGTAACATTGAAATCGAATTGTAATACTTGGTATAGTGTTGCAATTACGTACAACAGGTAGCACTAATATATATATATATATATATATATATATATATATATATATATATATATATATATATATATATATATATATTTTGTCACAAATGGGGCTAGTATATAAAAAAAACCTTACATATTCCAATGGAACGTAGTCAAAATTTCAAGGCAATCGGTGAACTTTCAGATAAGGAAATTTGAACATAACTTACATTTATACTATAAAATCTATATTGCATGTCACGCAGGCGCTGTTGGACGACATTGGCGAGTCTCGAAGTGTGTACTTGTGTATATGCTAGTTTTTCTAACTATATAAAAAGTTTAAACTTCCTGATGGGCTTAGCTGAAATTAATGAGATCGAATGTCAGATTCTAAATATTTAAGGGAAAGTAGAACTTGTATGAAAGATTACAATATAGCATGACTTCAGTCTGTCGTAACCCTTAATTGTCTAATTGTTAAATACTATTCTGGTCTTGGGATCCTTGCCAGCCGTCATTTTATGGGTACGGACTGACCTTTTAATTGTAAGATTACAAAAGATAAATCAAACGCTGGAATTTAGTAAACTAGCCTTGCTATTTTGAGGATGCCCTAAAGCTTACAGCTTTAGACCTTATTTTAACAATGGAACCATTTTAAATTATCTTTAGCTTTTACATGTAAAGGGTCTAAGTTTGTATAGCATTTTACACTATTCGTCAATGGGTTTCCCCTAGTTTCTTGTTCACAGTAAAGTTGACCCGATTCTACCACAGAGTTGATGGGACTTAACGTTAATCTTGGTTACTGTATTGGGGCTCTACAGAGTGGGTTAAAACGCCAATAAACCTTTTGGTTATTTAATAATTTTGTTCACTGCAGATTCTTAACTGATACTTTTATCTAAATTTAAAGTTAATAAATCTTGTTGGCGGTAGCTTGGATACTTGGATGTCATCACTTCTCAAAGAACACATCGGGAATGTGGGGTTCTGTTTCCCCTAAAGTTTCTTGAACTCGATTAAAGTTGAAAAATTACCTGGTTGACTGTTTGGTACCGGTAACATTTAGTCATCATTATTACATCATATCTTGCACAACCTCTTAAACCCACTAATCTTCACTTCCTAATAAAAAAGTTCTGGCGCAGTTTTCTGGTTTATTGCCATACTATAAAACTTGGTGCCCCTTAATAGTAAATCTAACTTTTAAAATGCTTATTAATGTATTTAGTGTAGGTGCCTCAAAGACTTGAATTTTAAGTATTTTACAAATTTAAGTTTTCTAATGGCTCTTAAATATGCACTTCAAACTGTTTTCTTCATCCAACCCATCAGCCTGCCTCTCCTTATGGCAGTCAGACCAGAGGACCAGGAGGTGCGGGTAGTGCCAGCTCTCAGGGGTCATCAGGTCAACAGGGCAGCGGTTCAGTAATACGTGGCGGTCTGGGCAGCGGTCCAGTTCTGGGTGCTGGAATAGGACTTGGCAGCAGTCAAGGAGTAGGTATTAACCTTGGCCAAGGAATCGGCAGCGGTCCAGCTGGCAGTTCTGGTCAAGGAATTGGCGGGAGTGGTGACAGGCCTGGACAGGTGAGCAGTGGACCTCCCGCTTCCTCTAGCAGTAGCGGTTCGGCTCCTTACGCTGGGGCTAGGTATGGCAGTCCACAAGTGAGCAGAGTTGACGCAGTATTTAACCCCACTGTCACCCAGCTCTTCACCATCGACCGCTTCGTCACCCTCACTGATCAGGCTTTCCAGAGTGTGGCTGTCACCCTCACTTCACTCACCGTTCAGACTGTCACCACTGGAACACGCGCGGTGAGTACTTGGTATGTATTGTGACAAACGATGGTCTGGAGGCTGAGTTTAGACTAGCTAATTGTTGTCTTACACAGGTGGTACAGACGCCGGTGGATGACAGTGTCGCCCTCCAGACAACGGTAGTTGTCAGACCTTCAACATTAACGGTCACGTACGTGCAGTCAGACTTCAGAATTGTGACTGAAAGATCTTTAGACTACGTGACCATCGCCCACACCTCTTACGTCATCATGCAGACGACCTATACTACTACTGCTACCCAAGTGTAAGTTCGATGCTAAGTCTACAGTATTGTACTGTAACTTCAAATTCCCTTGCTTGCTTGTAAAGGTACTGGCTAATTGACAAATTTACTCCCCACAGGCTGTCGTACACTACAACGCTGGTGAGAACAAACATCAATACTAAGAGCACAGTGTTCACGGACTACCGCACAGTCACCGACACGGTCCTCGTCCCCGGAGCTCGCTACGGTTATAGACAGCTTTAGCACGTCCATCCATGCCAAGATTTTAAAGAATGAAATATAAAGTATATTTAATAAAATGGCTTCTTGGTGATTATATTTTTTTCCCCCCTTAAATGGCTAGATTAGTAGTCGTCGATAAAGATTTGCAAACATTATTGTAAAACGGTTCAATTCAGCAACAGCTGGTGGTCCAGGACCAAGCATTGTCAACCTGACTGACAGGTTCAGGTTGAATAAACTGAGGCATTGGGTTAATTATCTTGCAACCTCCTAACATTTTATTAACCAAGAAATGTTGTCCTGGTCAGCACAACTCTCATAGGTTAATAAGCACTTCAATTAAATCTTGGTTCTATAACTGAAAATGTTGTGGGTGTGAAGTCTAAAACCCTTGCTGCTCTCGAAGCATGAGTCGGTACGTGTCTTCTCGGCGACGCGACATTATTGGATGCAAAATGTGAAAGAATTGCAAACTAGAGTGTAACCAACGATATTCGGAGGCAAAGTTGCCTGTGACGAAGTGTTAATTCGTAGTGAATAGTGATCCCTAGAGTGAAAGGGGGGGTTAGACTTGTCAACCGTTGTCGGTAGACATTGATAGATAATTAAATAATTATCTTGAAAGAGAATCTTGAACCAGTTGCATGAAGTGCCCTCGTTTACCTGGCTTGCTCAGGAGTACTTGGACAGCTGAAAGCACAACGAAGACTCGTTCCACAAGACTGAGAGGAGTAAGACGCAGGAGAAAATTGTTCAGAGGGTCAAGAGTGCATCTTTTCCACCCGACAGTAGAAGATTGCGTGGAGTGGGTCTAAATGGTGTGGTAAATGATTACTATCGTCCATACATAAGAACTTTTCAAAGTTAGACTTGAGGTATTGAGCAAGTTTAATTCAATTTTAAAAGCTTAATTTAGTAAAACCAATTTTAATTTCGACGCCTGGGTACTGGTAGGCATACTTATGCACCTGTATACATAGCCTTTCCGGTTTGGCCCCCTCCCCGCTCGGCTCGTTGTCGCCGTGTGGGGGCTTAGTGGGCGGCTGCCGGCGTGTGATGCTCCTTGGGACAGTCCTGTCCTTTTCTAGCCTTGTGCTCCTGCTGCCGTCCTCCAATTCTGATGGGCATCTTTTCCTTTTCCTTCTGTTTCGTTTTTCTCTCCCCTCTTCTCCTATCTGCTTGCCGTTTCCTGCCGACCTTTTGCTAGTTCTGGTTCTTCCCTTGGACTTCCATTTTGTCGCCTGGGTGCTTGAGGAGGCATACTCTTGCACCCGTAGAACTGAGTACCCGACGTAGAGAGCGAGGGGAACCTTTTGCCAATCCCCCTTTCGTCACTGAACCCGGTCTCGACGGACTGTCGGTTTCTTAAGGTGGCGTATACTCAAGACGCACACCTAGGAGGCCCCGGCAAGATCGGCGATAGCTTCTTGTTGGGTGTCCTGCCTCTAATTGTGGCTCCGTGGTGGGTGTGGGGGCACGTTCGTGAATGAATTCTTCTTTTCGTCATGATAACACCTGTTTCGGCTGCTTCTGGTTTACCTTCTCAGGCTCGTGGGGTGGGCGACCAAGCCCCCGAGTCGGTCCGTATTGGAAGACCGGGCTCTGTAGCCTCTGCTGCATTGGGCCCCGACCTTGCTCCTCCTTTGGGCTCTCTGACTCCTTTCCCTGGCTCTCCTCTTTCCTCTGTGGTTGGGTCGAGCCCCAAGCTCCCAGTGGTGACTACCTCGTCCCCTGGCGCGGCTCCTTCTCTAGTTGTAACTACTGCGCATTTTAACCCCTCTCTCTGGGGGTTCTCACCGCCGTCCTCGTCACGGCCGCCCTCGCTCGATTCCTTCCAGTTCTGCTACCTATCAAGCCTTGTTTGGTCCCGCTTCGTGGGCCAAATATTTTGATCTCCTCCCTCTTGATTCTGCGCCTCCTGACGATTTCTCCCTCCATCGACATCTCGTTGCTTCTGTGGATGCCTCCATTACTTTCAACCCCACTCGTCTTGGTACACGTGTCGTTGCTGCTCCTTTTCAGGATGTTGCTTCCAGCTTGGCTGCCTTATCCTGCCTTGGCGAGACCCCTGTTCGGGTCTCGAAGAACGCTCAGTTGAATGCCAGTGTTGGCACTATTTTGCTCCCGTCCCATGTCGCGACCGGTGTTCGGGACCTGCGCGACTGCCACGACGATATTCAACATATCCTTGCTGCCCAGGGTCATTGTATTCTCCAGGTGGACACGTTTACTCGTCCCCCTCGTGGTAGTCGTCGTCAACCCCTCCGGGTTGTGAAGATTACCTTTGATGGTAGGACCCTTCCACCCTCTGTCATTCTTGCTGGTGCCGGTAATATCCAGGAGTTTGACCAGGAGTAAGAAAGAATTGTTGAGATACCTCGGTATGAATGGATATTACCGGAAGTTCTGCGAAAATTTCTCCACCATAGCCGCTCCTATGACGAGTTTGACGAGTGCCGTTCGGAATGAAGAATAGTGGTAGTTGTTTTCAACGAGTAATGAATCAGGTATTACAAGGCGCGACTGGATGTGCAGTGTACATCGATGATATTGTGGTGTTCGCTGATTCCTGGAAGGATCACGTGGATCGACTTTTAGATTTGTTTGATCGGTTGGAGAAGGCCAACATGACGATCAACTTAGCAAAAAGCGAGTTCGGGAGAGCCCGCCTGGAGTACCTTGGATATACAGTAGGGCAAGGCGAGGTTGCTCCGGTGAGAACAAAGGTGGAGGCCATTGACAACTTCCCAGTACCCAGGAGTAAGAAAGAATTGTTGAGATACCTCGGTATGAATGGATATTACCGGAAGTTCTGCGAAAATTTCTCCACCATAGCCGCTCCTATGACGAGTTTGCTGTCAAAGAGCAAGAAGTGGGAGTGGAATGGAACAGCACAAGAGGCGTTTGAAAAGACCAAAAGACTGTTGACCGAGGCGCCTGTACTAGTGTCACCCAATTTTGGAGCGCCGTTTACGTTGTTTGTAGATGCCAGTGATATAGGGGCTGGAGCTGTACTGACGCAGCAGAATGATGGAATTTACCGCCCCGTGTCCTTCTTCTCGAAGAAGTTCGTTAAGCACCAGAGGTCGTATAGTACAGTCGAGAAAGAGACTTTGGCCCTGGTGATGGCATTGAAACATTTTGAAGTGTATGTGAGTGGGGGAGGACACCCAGTGACGGTGTATACGGACCATAATCCCCTAGTTTTCCTGAAGAAAATGAAGCATGCAAACCAGAGATTAACCAGATGGTTTTTATCGCTCCAAGAGTATGACCTGGTGATAACGCACATAAGAGGGCGAGACAATGTAGTGGCTGATGCATTATCTCGAGCCTAGCCAGTAGAATAATTCTCAAAAAAAGGGTAAGGGAGTGTTATGATCCCAGGTAGCCGAAAAACGAGTCTCCCCTTTGAGAATTATTCTATCAAGCCTGACCTAACCAGAAGGTCTAAGAAATATAGAGGTGATAACACATATGTAAAATAGCTGGTTGGATATGATAAACAATTTGAGATTATGGGCAGTGAAGAAGAAAACAGATAAATGACTGGCTAGGAGATGTGGACATTTTGCTGGAGGCGTGAGGCTCACTTCTGGAGGGGCTTTGACCTCACTTGAGTGCCAGACATCGCAGGGGAAAGCCGCGCTCCGTTCGAGCTCCCGTCAGAAGGGAACCCCTAGTGATATATCTCCAAGAGAAGAGAAGTGTGTAGACGTGCCAGCTGTGGAACTGAGCTGGGAACGTTGTGGTCTCAAGTCTTGGTCGAAGAGGAGAGTATTAAACCGCCCAGAGGCATTATTGTGGGCCGTGGAAGCGCCCTGACCAAGCTTCGTCACAGGGAGGAGCGCCCTCGACCAGACAATCTGTGGTAAGCACGATATACGCCAGTTCATAGTGGTTGCTTGTAGTTGGTCGTGTGCCCAGCAACAGTAGCAATGTTTATTGATAAGTTAGACATGTTTTGATAAGGCAGAAAGCCTAAAATAAGAGAGTGGAGAGGGAGGAACACGGAGCGACGTCCGTCCCCTCTGAGCGCTGGCAGGCAACTGAGGGAGCCCGGCTCCTGAAGGTGGAAGACCCTCCCAGCGTGTGAGGACCGCCGCCGGGTCGAGGTGGAGTATGGACCCGCACAAAAAGAGGGAGTCCACTCTCTCTGTGTGTAGAGGACAGATAGAGGTTTGAGGCAAACATATTGTGTGAGTATTTTTGTTTATGTGTTAAAGGGGAAACAATTTTATTGGAGTGTCGATGGGTTGCAGGTTTGTCTTTGGGGAAGAAGTTGCTGAGAACTTCGAAGCCAGCACAGATGAAGTAGTTGATGAGACTCCAAGGTAGTGGAGCAGAGGACCTCTAGCTGTGAGGAAAAGCAGTGAAGAGGAGTGTCACGTGCTTCTGTAGAGGTGGTGAAGCACCATAGTTGCTCGAGGGAACTTCATGGTGTAGCAGCCAGGAGAGCTGTGGAGGACCCTAGCAGAAGGGTGAAGCACCGTAGTTGCTCAAGAAAACTTCATGGTAGCAGCCTGGAGGAGCTGCAGAGGATCCTGGTAGTGAAGCCCGGAAGAACCTAAAGATATCAGGGTAGTGAACTTCCAGAGGTGGAAGGGAAGTTCTGGGGGATTACTTGTAGGGAGTTGATAGTGTTTGGTTGTCATTAGCGTGCAAGACGCAGTGAAAAGTGAGTGATTGCATTCTTATGTCAAGGAGTGTTTTATACTGAAGTTTAGAGTTACAGTCGTAGGCTGGATTACCTACAGATGTATGTGTTCTAGGACTGATAGAGTGATCGATTGATCATTGTTGTGTATCAATGAACATTTATACTGATATATGTTATTGCATTCACATGCTGATTTTCTTTGTACACATTTATAGATACATATATATATTCTCTTGCTGATGGTGCAACAGTGTATGTAGACTTGATCTACTTGAGGAGCTTGATAATATCAGGTGGTGAATCAGAAGATAGGATACCACTTGGTAAACTGATAATAGAGTTCTGATGGTGTTTGAGTGCAACCTGATTGAAATATTATAGAGTATAGGATTCATTATTATTATATGTGTATGTATCGTGTATGTGCTCTG